AGAATGGGAGTGGTGAGTGCGGGGTGTGTGGAGGGGTCGCGAGCAAAGGACGAGGCGAAGACAGAGGAGGCCTATACTAGCCGCTGAATAACGCATGACTGTCTGGCTTGAAATTATAGCATTTCACCCCCTCTCACTCGCAGGAACCATCCCTCTGGCTCTCTGGCCGCGCTTTCATTCAATTATGCATCCAGCCTCAGCCGCGCCGCCGCGTCCACCCGCTGCCCACCCCCTCCGCGACTCTTATTATTATTTTCCCGCGCGTGTCTTCGTCTAGGCGTCTTTTTATTCATCCGGATAGAAGTCCCTCGCAATTCCTCCTTCGTCATTCTTAAGATTGAATTATATTTAATCGAATAACACTGCGTTTACGCTCGACGAATCGCCTGCTGTCGATGCTGGCTATGTTACCAATGGAATTAACTCGTTACACTTGAGAAATCGGGCTCATTCGATGCAGGGAAGATCGTAGATCTTGATATTCAATATTAACCCTTTGTGAGTTTGACTTTGGAAGACTCTTTATAGGAAGCGAATTCTTTGGAGTCTTAAATAGAGACATACAGATTTTATTAATCTCCGGTGATTCGAGTTAAATTACTCGTTGTCATTTAGATTTTAAGCACTGAAGCTCGAGGTCGCGTTAGGCGAGGAGTTTAACTCTTCGTGGACGAATCCCGACATTTGAGATGAAAGTTTCGTATTTGGAAGACTCGGAGGAATGATTTAGTTACTCGAACGACGAGAAATCATCGCGTAGTTTCCTTCTTTTATATTAATTAAACATTTCATGTATTCAGCTTTATCTGCTGAAGGTTTTGTATGTTTCGAAGAATCTTCGCAAAGGGTTGATTTCCTGTAACCTATTAGCAGATAGAGTATAGAAACAAAATACTCGTGTTTCTTAATTTTTTTATGTTTCTTCGCGCTCCTCGTGAGAAATGTTGTCAACGTCTCGTCGAAACACGATGAATCTTTCTCGTTAGAGAAGTTTCGGAGAAGGGTTAGAAAGACGTGTTCGTTTACAGAGAGGATCGCTCGGCGTCGCTCACAGATACAAGCGGGTCGATCGTTAATCTCGACGCCCGCGATCCTTTCTTTGCCGGCGTAATCAGGTGTAGTCGATCGTGGAGGCCTCCCGATGCTTCCGTGCGAACCGGCCGATTATTACCCTACCTCCCGCGGAAACGCAGACCTTGAACCGCGCCGCCCGACCGCGCTCGTTCGATGGACTCTGCTTCCGGAAAACTGGGACCGCGAGTCTCGCGCGGGGGATAACTTTCAAGTTGATTGAAATCATTTTGAAACTTTTGGTTAACGCTGGAACTACCCCCCGACGAAGATGGAATTGATTAGATTTTCATTCTTTTTCCGTGGGAACTACGGAAGCGGTTTTATCGAGATTCCGATTGACCTTTCAGTTCGCGCGTTAAATAAACAGCTGTCTCTCTTCCATAATTATACAAAAGGTACAGTCGTAGAAGAGAAATTGTTTTCTACTGTAGAATGTGGAACGAAATGAATTTTAATGGTAGAACTACTGAACAATTAGAGCGATTTTTCTATAAGGTCTCAGACAAATGAAAGTGTATTCTTCGAGATTTGAAGCTGGTACTGATGTGTTCATAGAAATAGATCTGGTTTACGATTTTCTACAAGAGCTTCATAGTTTTAACCCTTTGCACTCGAGAGGCACTCAGTCGCCATTTGATTGAACGCAACAAAATGATAAAATGGAAAATTCAATATAAAACGTTGAATAAACTATTAACACATGAAACATAGAAATAAGACAACTCTGCCTCATAATTTATTCAAGATGTTTCTCTATGTACGTTGTTAATATTGTTAATATTTCGTCAGAAAGTAATGAATGTCTGTAATGAAAAGTATTGTCGACTGCGGAGAGCGAAGATAATTGATAATTGTGAAATAAGAACCTCTAGATGGGTGATTTCGATTGGTACGGTAGTTTCAGTGTTAAGATGTCACTGAAACAGAATGGGAATTGTGATGTTTACGATTCGTGTTCATAAGGGAATTACATTTTTAAGGTATTAACCAGTTGAATCACTTTTGAGTCGTAATGTAAATGACGCAAATTACGAGGGGAAACTTACGTGGCGATAATGTACATTTTCACACAGCCAACTGGAGTCGCATCGAGACCATTTAATGGCCTGCAACATAGTTGCGCGATGTTCACCGCGAGTCCGTTCCTTTATATTGAATAAATTTCCCAGCATTTTTCTGCTCGTTAATGACCCCGGGCCCCATCAAGCCCGGCAAACCGGCTTGCTCCTTATGTAGCGGGAACCATTACATAATTCGCGGCTCGTTACTATTTCCCAGTTTTGTAATGTAAATCCGACTGGTGTTCGAATGCGTGCTCAATGTGTTAAACCCACTGGCGAGATCACTTCTTTTTGCCCGAGATCGACAATGATCGCTAAAAGATCTCTTTTTCTTCAATTCTTAGATACTTGGATACTTGGATACTTAGATACTTAGATGTTACTTAGATACAAATTCAAAGAACGATCAAATACTCGAAACATTTCTAAGACGTGAACTTTGTAGATTAGCCTCGAAACTGAACGCTCGAATTCCGCGTGAAAAATAGTACACTTCATCAACTCACGTTAACCAGACTCAGACAGCACAATATTTTACCTAAATTTCAAAATGAATCTTCTCCACGAGTCCATAGAATCAAATCTCCAATCTACGAGACAAGAATACCAGAACCACGAAAAATCGTTCCCTAGTTTCTTTCAAACCCGTGAAACGCCACGATAATCTTGAGCGTTTTCCCTTATACCAAGAAACTCAGGTAAAATGATCAATCATCTACCATTACAATGCTTGCATTACACTATTATCAACTTACTTGCATTATTAAACATTTCCATTCGATATCGGTTATCTCGCGTGTTACGATTGTTCTTTAGTCACTTCGAAGTGTCGGTCACCGATGACTGACAGGCGTTTGAAACGTTAAAAAAATTCAACCGTACAGACTTCTACGAATCGTAATTCAGCCATCGACGAGGTAAACGTTATTCAGAATTCACACGGTAGTTTCTAAACAAATTGAAGCGCGCTCGAAGCTAAGAACATCCCCACGCGAATTAAGAAACGTTCGCCACAGGCGCCATTGCTTCTTCCAGCCGAATTATAAAACGCGAAGTCTATTCGCTTCTTCCCTTCCCGACACCGCGGAAAAACTATCCGCGGAAGCTTATCGGTTCCAGTGCGTTCGCCGATTGTCCGTCGAGCTTTTACGACGCGACGGGCCACGTTACGACGTAAAAATTTCAAGCGACCCGTATCGACGCTATAAATATTCATGCCGCTACCTACACCGGCCACGATATACGTACGTGCACGTACACGCTTCTACGCGTATGCACGTGAAACAGCAATATATAGATATATGCGGAATAATACAAATATGGCTGAGCGACACAGTTGCGACGATGCGAACGCGTTACGCTCGAGCGGGCCGAGCGTTCGCAATATCGGTCACTATTAGAGACAATTGCGCCGCTGCTTTATTCGGAATCAGTGGCCGGCTCTCTC